GGGGGGGGGAGGGGGGGGAGGGGGGGTTGGGGTGGTTTGGGGTGGCTTGGGGCTGTGTGCTTTGAGGTCGAGGACTTGCAGCACGTGCATGGGGCTTGGAAGTTTGAAGTTCAGCACGCGCTTGAACCTCAAAAACAACAGCACGAGTGGAACCGTTCACGGGACTGAATCGTCTTCATCCTCCTAGTCTGGGAGTAAGTAGAGTTGGGCGTCCCATGGCAGGCATAGGTGTCTAGCGTGTGTGTTTGGCTGTGACGTTCTCTGTCCCTATTTCAGGTGATCTCGCTGATGGAGCCCAGCCTCTCGCATGCGGCGGCCGTCACAGAGCCTGGTCTGCATGATGCCTTGGCCGGGGCCAGGGCACTCCCAAGCCCGTGGCCGAACATGGAAACAGGCACCATAAAATAGAGGGTTTTACTGTTGTGGCGGCGTGTCCGGACATGGGCAGGGAGCAGAGGAGCTGCGAGAAGGCAAGGGGTTGATTGGCAGTTGAGCAGTTGCATCGTCCACGACCAAAGGAGATGCTGCGGATTCTTCTGGACCCCACCTGCCCCGGCGCGCAGCATCTTGGCAGCATGTCTTGCTCAAGCTCACAGAGGACGGCCATGATTCGAGAAGCGCCCTGCATAAGCAAGAACACATTGAAAATGCAAGGCCACTTCCCCAAACCCGAAACCGGAAACCCGTGCCTCATCTTCGGGAGCACAAAAGCAACTCGAAATCTTGTAGTGTTGGGTTTAGGGTCTAGGGGTCTAGGGTTCATGGTTTAGGGCTAGGGGTTTAGGGTGGTTTAGGGTTTAGGATCAGACGACCTTTGGCAAGCAAGGGAAGGGTAGCGAGGCACGGCACCTCCTTGAAGATGCCTGGGATGAAGGTTATCTCTCCTAGAATTTCATAAGCCCAAAGCCCCCAAAGCCCCAAATTGACAGGGCTGGGATGCTGAGCGTCTTGGCAGCCGATTTCTGGTGTGTTGCGTAAGTTGTCACTGTCTGCTTGGTTGAGAGTGCAAGTCTTGCAGGCTTCAGCTGCAAGGCTAGGGGATACTCACTTCAGCCGAAGCCACAGAGCCGAGCTCCAACCTTACACGCTACGCTTCATCTCGAGTAAACTGAGACCTCCGAGATTCTGGGCATGCTTGTTTCGGAGTGGAGCTTAAGGCGTATGCTGAGCCGGTTTTGTAGTGGCTTATCTGAACTTGTGTTCGGGGCTGAAACACCATAAACTTTTTCCTAAGGTGTGCACACTGCCATCGAAGCCTTGGAGAAGTTCAGGCACGGGGTGCTGCATGTTCTAGATTTAGGGTTTTTGGGGTTGTGGTCAGGGCTTATAGGATTTATATACGGTTTCAGTTTTCCGGTTTTGATGTGTTTGTGCCCATGTCTCAGTGCCCCAATGGCCGAGAAGGGGCCAGGCCTTAAGCTGGTTGGCTGTCCCTTCACCCTGGATAGGTGTTTAGCCGTCCTTTGAATCACATTTTGGTGGTTCGGCGGGCAGACTACCAGAACTACCTATAAATATTTTCGGCATTTCAATGCTGTCAGAGGAACACGCAGCCTAATTTCATGCACCAAACTCTCGAAAGGCCTTAAAAGGCCGCGAGAGACGGCTCTGCCAGAAAGACATGGGTGCTTTCCGCTGTACGGCCTCGCTGGCCTTGAAGCAGTCCCAAAGTCTTGTTAGATCTGGCGGCAGCAAAACTAGCAAGTTCTTGACCACGGCTGAGACAGCCAGATTATCTCGGTGTGAGCGCCACTCAGCTTCCCATTGCTCACTGACCTTGACGAGAATCTTGGCCGGGGTCCCGTTGTCGCCTTGCTTTGCTTTGATCTTTGTATCCCATTCGTACTCCTCACGGATTTGCCTGAACTGCTTCTAGGTGACATTACCAGCTTGTCGCACCACGACGTTCGGTCCATGATCGACCGAAAGTAGTTGGGTAACAGAGTGTAGCAGCTGGTGCTGTTCGTCGTCAGTCCTCTTTCGCAGGTCGGAGTCGGCCTGGATCAGGCTCACATCGTCTTTCAACCTTTGACAGGTGGTTGACGGTGTCCCGAAGAGTCTGCTGGATCTCCTCGAGCCTGCCTCTAATGGATACCTCATCAACAGCATCGACCAATTTGCGGTAGAGGGCCTCCGTCCACTCATTGTCGACGTCTCCAGTGGTTGACATCTCACCGGGGACGCCTGTCTTGGCGGGCGGGGCTGGAGTGCTCGTGTTTTCGACGCTTCTTGCTTCCATAGCCGGGTTGGATCGACGCCACCGGCTCCTGGATCGCAGCCAGCTCCTTCACACACTTGGCCGAGGCTCGCAAATGGTCCTCTAACCTACCAGCCGTCCAGAATTCGGTACAGCAGGCCAGGCAAACAAGAGGTCCCTTTGACAAATTTTCGGTAGTTCGCCCTCCGCTTTTGGACCGCAAAGAAGTGCACGCTGAGAGCTGCTCTGGTGGCAAAAAGGTTTGTTGCATCCTCGACACCACCAACTCGCTATCTCTTCATCGGGCTGTTCCTCCTGGTGGAGGTCTTTGTATACTGCCCAAAAGGCACAAGCCCACAGCCTCTTCATCCTTGTAGCGATCGAAGTCGCTCTGTAGCCGTCTGGCCACCGTTCGTTTGATCCGCGAAGGTGTAGTTCTCAGGACATGCCACCATTCAGGCCATTCAGGCCATGCCTCCACAGAAAGCTTCGGCCACTGGTTCTCGTCCTGCCCAACCATCCATTGTAGATCGTCATGAAGGTGTTGTAGCCATTTACCTTCGGCCTGTAGCATCGCCCATAATATGGCCGGCCCCGCCTTTGCCAGGGACGCCAGTAGGCTGATCCTGGATCTTTTGGCCATCATGGAAAGGGGCCTACAGCCCGTCCCCCAGTGCCCAAGACTGGAAGATGAAAAACCTCCTGTCCCGTTGCCACTGTAGACATCAGCCTTCTCACTTGCCGGGAATAGCCATCCTCAAGGGCCTGCCATTGCTGTCCATCAGGCACCCAAAGTGCGAGGTTTAACACTGTAGCCGTGGACAGTCGCCTCAAAGATGCGTCCCCTGGTAAGGACCGGGATACTCGCGTTCTGCAGTAATAACTGCTTGGCCGCATCGTACGCGGAGTTCATCATACTCGTAGAAAGACGGTACCTGACCTCCGCCGCTCCATTGGCATTGGCCTGGAGAAAGCCGCCCAGGTGCTTGTAGGAGCTCAGAATAGGGATAGCCTCCTGGAGGTCGCTGAACCACAGTTCTGCCTTGCTGCTCGTCGAGCAGCCTTGGCACCCAGTCCACAAACTCGCAGGATAATACTTGTCTTGTTCTTTTTCAGGTTGGGGTCCAGGCCGTGCGCCGTGAAGGTTCCAACCACCAAAGAGCTCAGCCTGGCTGCGGTCTGTAGCAGCTCGTCAGCCGAGGCGGTGGTCACGGGATGCGCCGTCTCGTCCGCCCAGGTACTGTCCCAGGCTTCCTCCTGTTCACCCTGGGCTGCTTGTGAGTAGATGCCGTGCTCCGCGTTCCACGGGAGACTGAAGCCCAGGCCTCCTCCATTGTAGTACAGCACCTTGGAGTAGATGAAGGAGAACACTGTGTCTGCCCATGCTTCTCCCGGCTTTGAGCCGGCCGCGGCCTGACATATGAGATCTCCCTGTGCGAACCTGGTCGTGGACCAAGTTCGAAAGTGAAAAATCACACGTGGCCCGCCGCATTGGTCCAGGGACGTCGGCAGCTTGGGGCATCCCACTGGCACTGATCACTTCTTTCAGCTCCTGTACATCAGCCCCTCCCAATCCAAATCTCTGGAACAACCCCAGTACCGTGGCATCGTCTGTTATCGGCCTCATCGCTAGCTCTCTCACTAACTGGTAGCAAGCAACGCGGCTGTCGACGAACAGGACCGCTGTGCCCAGGTTTTCCTTCTTGCACCTCCGGACGCGCATGGCGATGTAGCTTGCTGGGAAGATTTTCTGGCGCCTGACTTTGTGCAGCATTTTCCCTGCAAAGCTCGATATGAACAAGCTTCTGTAGGTGTCCACGGCCTCGGCTGCTCCAGAGCCTTCAAACGCTTCGTAGAGTACACCCCCTCGCCACTGCGTAGGTTGCGCTCCACCGAGTAGGCTCTTGAGGAACAGCGGCTGATAAAGCCGAACCATGTCGCAGGGGCGTGACGACATGATGTCGCTCGGCAGGCCATCGAGCCGTTGGCCAACCGGTTTGTTTTTCCTCCCTCCAATGCCAGCTTGCTTGGCCCTATGCACTACTGCAGCCACTCCCTGGTGGCCCTCCGCAATGATGTGCTCAAGGAACTTGGCCTTTTCCGTGGCGACACCCTTCTTGATCTGGGTCGCCACCGCAACTGCTCCAGCAAAAACCTGGTAGAAGACGTTGTTCTTATGCACATCTGCTGCAAGCTCCGGCATTTCTTCTCCTCGTAGCTTTTTCCAGGCCGCGTTCCGGAATGCAAAGAGTTGATTCTTCCTTGAGCGGGTCCGAATCTTGAGTCGTTGCTTGCGATTCCGTAGGGCCCAGATCTCATCCGTGATGTAGGAAGCCCTTTGATTTGAGGGGGCTCTGAAGTGCTTGTCCAGGGCCTGGCACAGATATTTTTGTACACGCTGGCAGTGGTCATCAGGGTGAACCTCCCATCTCGGCTGCTCAAAGTCCTGGAGGATTTGAGCGAGAATTTGCTTGCCCTCGGCAGAGTGGAGCTTCTGCGTGTCATCATTCGGGCTTCCATTGTCAAAGCCAGAATTGACCCAGCTGGCGGCGGCCTGTATCATCGCCCGTCCTCCAAACAGCATGAAGTAGATTCTGCTTTTTTTTTTTTGGTTCGAAGGTACAAGAACCCCTTTCATGTAGTTGACTGAAAGTCGAGGGGGTCCACATGACTGTACTGACCATGATCTCCGCCATGTCATAGCCAATCTGGTCCAGGTCGTCGTATTCCAGGTCTCCGGTTGCTGGGGTGTAGCAGGGTGGCAGCCTGCCATGGTGGACGCCCATCGCCACCAAGTTCATTGTCTTCGCCCTTCAGGACAGCATATTGTCCCAAATCCTTCTGCCAGCATGGGATAGCCGGAAGAACTTGTTCTCGGGGATGCTGACCCAATGGTCCACCGTTTGCAGCTCTAAGGCTTCAGCTGCCGCCGCTTCCAGGAACATCTCGTCATCAGGGCAAATTTCCTGGACAACTAGGTCATCTTGTGACTGATAGACTCCATGTAGTCCTTCTCGTGACGAGAACTTCTCGTGGTGTCGACTGCTGGGTTCCACCTTTGTGGGTAGAGGAGCCGCGGCTCAAGGCCGTCAGACCATTCACAGTCTGATCCTTTCCTTCTGATTTGGACCGCTCCCCCTGGTTTAGCCTCGGACGTACTGCCGAGGGCGAATACATTCACTCAAAGTCAATGACCTGCTGCAGCACAGTCTCGTTGGTGAGGGTGGAGCTGGCATAGAAGGCGAAGACTTTGCCGTCAACCGCCCTAGCGTCCATCACCAGTGCTGTCCGGTCGGTCTGCTTCAGTCATCCGGGAACAGCCAGGAAGCTTGCATAATGGTCACGGATCTGTGTAGTCGTGGCGATACGCTCATCCATGAAATCCGGGATAATGCCCGCCGAAGCTCATATCAGCATCAATCATTGCAGCCTCATAGTATGGTGCAACCACCCACATGCTGATGTGCACCTCTGTTGCCAGGTCCGGCTCGAGGTCAGTCCTCATCGGTAGGGTTCCCGGTGGGTCCACCTCATATATCGGCAATCTGGCTTCTCCCGCATTGTGTTCAAGTGGAAGATTCATGGCCCAACGGGCCCCTCGGTCTGCCAATTGCTCCGCCAGAGTGTTCTGTCCCGTTCTTGGTCGCCTCGCTTGTGTAGGCGGCTGTTGCAATCACACAGGCACCGCAGATTCTGCCTAAGGCCCGGTTGCTGTGGCAACGCCTGCCGCAGCTTCCTTGAACCATGCACATGGCCGATAGCATTTGCACCGCAACCATGGCGGTAATCCAACCTTGACCAAGCTGAACATGCAATCCACCACAGGTGTTTCTCCCATTGTACGTAGGCAAAGTCCTGCACTCTCTGAACGAAATCGAGGAGGTCAAAGCAGGGGTAGTTGTGGTGAGACCGCCGGCTCGGTCCGCTGTGGTTGCTATTGGTTTTCTTGGCCGACACCTCTGTCTCCAAATCTGCTTGTACGGCAGCGAGCGGACCGAAAAAGTCGCATGCCGGTGAACTGGTCTGGTCTCCAAAATGGGCATCCAGACTCACACTGATTCCAGGGACGGACCGAAAAAGCCCTGGATTCTTTCCGAAGATCTCCTGCGTTCTGTCACTCCTCCTTCCCCTCGTCCGGGGGTCTGGCCAACGACCGCACTGCCATCATCTCGTGACCTGGACAAAGTCCTTGTCGGCTTCTTGCTTCCGCTGCTTGTCCAGCTTGTCCGAGAGTCCGAGAGGGTGGAGCCCTGTCGCGGCCTTGGCAACGGCATTCTCCCAAGGGCTTTGATGGCATTCTCGACGAGTTGTGCCTTGGTCGGCTTGATGTCCTCGCCGCTCTCGGCAATGATGGCCTGCCGCTTCCCGATGGTGACGTCAGATATGGATCTGGTGGCAGCGGGCTGTGGACCTCGTTGTATGCTGTCTTGCCGTTCTCCACAATCTCCTGCTGCTTTGTCTTGCTCACCCGTCTTCTTTGGAGCTGCCGTGCTTCTTCTCGGTGGTGTGGACTCCGCCTCCTTCGTCTGGGCCTCCGTGATAATCTCCATGATCCTGGCCTTCGTCGTCTGTGTCATCTGTCCAGGGTCCTCCACTGCGCTGAAGAGGCGGTTCGCAATGCCACTGCCAGTGGTGTCCGACTCTTTAAGTACAGCCTCCCATTCTTGCATGGCCTCTTTGTCGGTCTCCGGCTTCTTGCTCACAGGCCTGCTGGGGTTGGCAAACGCATCCTTCAACTCGGCCAGTGCTTCCGCCTGTGCTGATGCCTGTTCCTGTTTTTCGGCCACCAGCTTGGCCTTCTTCTCCAGATACCTCGCACGTTCCTGGATGAAAGTCTGCTTCAGACCTTTCTGGAAGGTCTCCCATTTCTCCTTGGTGGCCTCGAGCTCCTGCTCCGTCTTGCGGTCCTTGGCCTCGATCTTCCGCGCTGGCCCATTGCACGTTGTGGAGGAGTCCGCTTGTGTTCGGCTCCGTGGGTCCCGAGCTCGCGCCTGCTCCCCCACGTTGCGGCTTCTCCGGCTTGCCATCCGGGATCGGCATCATGTCGTACGTCGGAGGCCTCGTCGTCCATAGTGGTGCTTGGTCTTGTCCTGTCGGGTCCAGTACTGACCATCCGGCCACCAAGACCCCGCAGATCCTTGCTGCCACTCTCCCTGCCATTTCTGTCCACGGCCCATAAGTGACGGCTGCTCGCGGTACTGAGGGCGGCTATCGTGTGCCGCAAGGAAGGCAATGTCGGAGCGCGAAGGGTTGAGCCCTTTCGCTTTTGCCTTGTGTATTTTCTTGCGAGCCTTTGCCCTTTGCAGTCTTTTCCGCCGGTGCCATACAGGTGACTTTATGGCTGGCGTTCGTGCTGCCGCACCGGGGTGGCTAGCAATGTCGATATGCTGTGACACCGACTCGATCCAGAACCCAAGAACTATATATATATATATATATA